CACTATGCTACCAAAGCTCCTTTATATATATATACACACACACACACACACATATATATATACTATATAACCACCAACACTAAACTTACCGCTGTCCAGTTGGATCCAACTGATAGCGACCCCTCCTAGGGTTTCCAAGATGGTATCACCATGGAAGTAGATAGCCCAATCTTTCTTTCAAGGAGCAGCTGGTGGGCTTGAACCACCAGCCTTCTGGTTAGCAGTCAAATGCCTTAGGTACTATGCCACCAGAGCTCCCATATAAATATATATATTGTTTTGTATCTATTTAGGGTTATTTGCTGTAAATTTGCCAAGTAGAAACTTCTAGTCAATACATATATAGTGTAGACTGATGAATGTTGAACAGGGGTTCAAAAGAGTCTCAGCTGTTATTGCTGAGGACCTGAGTATTCTCATAAGAATTAAGGACAGTGATCTCACAGATTGTAGTCATGGCACTCTTTGAGCCCTTTTACTCTATTGTTATCAGGTTAAAATTCACAAGCTCATGTTTCTACAGAGAGATATGGTTCATTGCACTTGATATACAAAAAACAAATGTGCCTGTGTCAGTCATACATCAGAAAAGAGGGATTGTTGAATGACTACTGTATTAATTAGAATAATAAAGTGAGTGGTGTTAATGTTCAGCATTTGGGATGAATGTTCCTCACTACTGTAAAGTTAATCAGAATGTCCTTAAATATAAAGTAGGCCATTTTTAAAAGTCTTTTGTCTTTGTCCTTAGAACTCCTTAATAGCTTAAGTCAAAGGAGTCCTTGGTGTTCCTTAAAGTGTGGTTTGGGGACCACTAGAGTGGGTAGCTATGAGCCGGGTCCAACTCGATGGCATATAACAACAACAACAACAGCGTATCTGAAGGAGCTCTGGTAGCATAATGCCTAAGGCACTTGACTGCTAACCAGAAGGCTGATGGTTCAAACCCACCAGCTGTTCCTTGGAAGGAAGATTGGGCAATCTACTTCTGTAGTGATACCGCCTCAGAAACCCAAGGAGGGGTCTCTATGAGTCGGGTCTGACTCATCGGCACATAACAACAACCACAACAGTGTATCTGAGGATGCAGTGGAAATTCAGATTTTCTGATACCACTACAGAACTACTGAATCAGAAGTGATACTGGTGGGCTGTAGGAATCTGCAATTTTAATAAGCACCCCAGGTCAGTATGAGGCACACTAAATCTTGAGACCAGTCAGTTGCTATTGAGTTGATTCCAACTTGTGGTGACCCTTTGTGTGTCAGAGCAGAACTGTGCCCCACAGGGCTTTCAACGGCTGACTTTTTGAAAGCAGATAGCCAGGTCTCTCTTTCAAGGCACCTCAGAGTGTACTTTAACCTCCAACCTTTCAGCTAGCAGCCAAGCACATTAGCCATTTTCACCACCCAGAGACTGTGTAATCCAAATATCTCATTTCTCAGAGAAGTGAAATGAGTTGCCTGAGCATTTTGAGAAATAGTTTCAGCTACCCTCATGCAGAGAGTTTTGTTTTACTTAAATTTTCCAGAAGACTTAACAACCAGAACAGAAAATTTTAGTCATTGGCGCGCACACACACACACAAAGAAAACCTCACTGCCATCAAGTCAATTCCAACTCATGTCGACCCCCATTGGGTTTCCAAGACTAAAAATCTTTATAGTAATAGATTGCCTCATCTTCCTCCCATGGAGCAGCTGCTAGATTTTAACTGTCAATCTTCTAGCTAGCAGCCAAATGCCTTACCCACTACACCACCATAGTTCCTTTTAGTCATTGGCAAGAGGGAGACTTTTGTGAGAAAGCAGATCCTAGAGGAGCAGGGTGAAAGGAAACCATTTGGTCAGGTTGTCCATAACTTACAGTGAGTGCTGGGCATTGTCCAAGGAGCTTCATTGTAATAATAACACTTGCCAATCTTTATTGATGCTCCATCTATCAGGTGGCAGGTAGTGTGCCACGTGCTATACATGCATTATCCTCTTGAATCCTCAAAGCACCCCAGTGAAGTAGGGACTATTGTTATACCCATTACAGAGATGAGAAAACTATGACTAATGAAGGTAGTAACTTCTCTACAGCCAACCAGCTCTCAAATCCTCTAGTATGATGCCAACGCTAGACTGCTGGCATTGTTTGGTGAAAACAAAGTATATCAGGCCCGTTCTAGTCCCTAAAATTATATGATCTCACAAGTCTCTACCTGTCCTGATAAGAAATACAGGGGTCTAAAGGTTTACCAAATAAGACTTCAGAGTTCATTGGTAGATTGCAATCTAAGTTGGAGATGCCTGACCTGTACTTACATCTCTTCACCTGTGATTTGGTCTTCTTGACTTGATGAACTTGGGAAAATCAGTTTATATTTAAGGGCCTTAAGTCCCTACAAAAAAGGCAAAGAGGCCACATCTTCTGACCTCCTCTAACCGCACAAGAGGAAGACAGAATCACTATCAGTAGCCCAAGACCCATTCCTACAAGGCCAGACATGCTTCCTCCCTCCAGCCTTTACACCAACCACTCCTCCTGCAGCACCCAAAGTCTATCTGCCGGGTTCGATAATTCACTGCAGTGGCCACACAGAACTCATAGATTATGGGGTTTATTAGGGAAGCAACAGGCTACAATTCAAGTTCAGAAACAACATTCAGCCTCTCTTCCAGCCTGATGTCTCTTACCAACAGTCTCTGCCCCTCTCCCAGCAATGTGTGTCTCTCGGTATCTCTTTCTCAGCAGCGTGTGTCTCCCTGTGTCTCTTTCTCAGCAGTGCATGTCTCTTGTATTTCTTTCCCAGCAGCACGTCTTCCTCAGCCAGAGGTCAGAGAGAGCCTTCTGCCTCTAAGAGGCCTCCTTTTGAGCCTGGCAGAGTGGCCAAACCAACCAATCATAACATCAGAATTCTAAGCACCTGAGAGAGAGGGGGATCCTCCCAGAACATTGCTTTGTGTTGCACCCACAGAAATACCTCAGGTGTATGATTTTAACAATCAGAAGCTACTCAGTTTCTCACAGCAAATTCTACCGTGGAGTTTGCAAAGACTTATGGCTAGAAAAGCCATACCAAGTAATTTACTGCAGTGCAGTTCCTCATACGTAGAATTGAGGGAATCAGACTGAAAAGCCATTAGGTTCCTTTCTGGCTCTGACATCCTTTTTTTTTCCTGAAACATTTTTGGGTGCATCATATAGAATTTATGACTTAACCTGGGAGATGAGAAACTTGTAATCGAGACAGACATAACTCTTTCTATGGAATGGCAAAGGGCTTTCATAAATGTGTTAATAAATATGCTTTTACTTTAGCTCCTCAATAAACTGAAAAAATCAACTGAGAAGTTGGCAAAGGAAGAAGAAAATTACTACCAAAAAAACATGGCTGGTTATTCTACCAGACTGAAGTGGGAAAATACACTAGAAAACTGCTACCAGGTAAGTTATACAGTCACAGGTTGGTTTTTTTCTTTCCCCCTTATGGACCTTGCGTGATCTTGAAAATGGAGGCTAGCTCATCAGCTCCGAGACCCTATCTCTGTCTTTAGCTATGACCCTGACTCTTATTGTGACTTTAGATGAACTGCATATCTTCTTGTAGCTTCAATTTTTCCATGGATACAATTACCAGTGAAAATGTATTAAATGCCATTGAGCAGAGTTTCTGCTCCAAATTCTTGACAGACACAATAGTATTCAGATAACCTCAAAAAGGGCTGTCAAAGTAAAGCATAAATTTAGGGCTTAAGTGACAGTTACTTGAAATGGGTGTGATAACTGAGTCATATAGTAATCACTCGTGGAGTTTTCTTGTATGCCAGGCATAGTGTTGTGCACTGGAGACTAGAAGCAGAGGACCATTCCAGTCCTTCAGATGCCCCCAGTCTAGTAGCAAAGACTGACACATAAGGAAATAATTATGAAAAGGAACCACTAGAATGGAAATAATAAAAATGTTGACTCATTGTGAAAAATGCAACCAATGTCACTGAACAATTTGTATAGAAATTCTTAAACATGGACCTAATTTGTATATAAACTTTCACTGGAAACACAATAAAATATTATTAAAAAAGAGAGAAAGAATGATGGCAGATCATCCAATAAAAATAGATAATGGGTATGAGCAAGCAAATCACAGAAGGGGAAATCAAAATCAATAAACACATGGAAAGATGTTCAATCATTTGGTAAAAATTAAAAAGTGACAATATCAAGTGTTAGCAAGAATGTTGGGAAACAAGAATTCTTGTACCCCTCCAGTGAGAACAATTTATTGATAGTAAAACTGAAATGTGCATATATCCACAACCCAGCTGTTCCTTTTTAAGCATATTTCCTGAAGAAATATTTATACCTAAACACCATTATGATGTAGAAGATGGTTTATTGCAGAATTGTTTATAATTCTGTCATGAAAAGGAAAATTGTACGCTATTTTAACACCTACCAATAGAAGAATTAAATATGCTCTAATTTGAAAATGTGCTCTAATTTGGAAAGTGAATCACCAATAAAAGAC